CAAAATCATCAAATTAATAAAGTCAGGACGCTATTGTAATAGTATATTCTTGAGACCAAGTAGAATAGAAAAGTCTAATACTATTTTTTCTTTCGACGAATAGTTAGCGAGATATCGTAAGTTAAATGTTGAAAAAGTTACCAAGTTTTCCTTAAATATTTCAAAAAATATTAGGCAAATCAAAAAATGTTTCAGACAAAAGTTGTTCAAATTAATTGATGGAAAAAGACAGTGTAATAAAAAATTAGTATTTCCATTTAAGATTTTTATGTCGACCTAGATAACGTTTCTCAAGGTCATTCCAAGGTCAAACAATTATCAATATCTGATAGCTCTTTTTAAGCCCTACAATTTTTGTTTCAAACATTGTTTTAAACAATCATTTTTTAAATATATTATTATTAAATATAATTATAATTAGCCGTTCCGGAACGTTTGACAGACCCTGTATATTTTAAATACATGTTTTTCTACGAAACTTTTTTAATATTATTTTCCTCGAATAACTTCCCTCGCACCCTTCTCCTCACAATATTGTTAAAATATATTTTTACCTCAAGACTGAAGAATTTCCCCGCATTTTCTGGACATGTTAAGCTTTAACACCATGGAATATACACCAGTCCAAGTACTTCCCAATATGTTTTACCTCACGAGAGGCAGGAAAACGATGTTTTGTAGCATTGAGTCAAGGCACTCTTCTGAAATCCTAGTTCTTATGGGACACATGATATATTGAAAATTGCATCCTCTTGTTGATTTTAGTATTAAAAAACTATTAAAAATATTACCTTTTTACTTTTTTTAAAACAGTAGTGAAAATATGTAACATTTAGAACACAGAAACTCTTCCGTAAACTTATCTTAATCTTTCATAATATGCATCTTTGTTTTAGCGTCAAATATTTTCCCTTCACTTCTAGACATTCCGAGGTTTATTGTCGTCAAATAGACACTTATTCACAACGTTTCCAATAGGTTTTGCCCGTCTCCTTGGGGGAGAGGAGGGGCACAAAAATGGGGTTTTTTAACATTGTCTTTTGACAACATTATTATTCGATTTGTAAAGATTGTATTCCTTGAGTTCATATTCATATTTATCACATGGAATCAATGAAATAGGAAAAAACATGGAAAAAGGATTGAAAAATAGTATTAAATTTACTTAACACACAGTATGTCATATAAAATATAATATAACAGTCAGTGTAACTTTCTTAATAAATTTGTTCCTGCATTAATATAACCAAAAATTTTCATTATTGTATAATATAAATTTAACGACTATTCTAATATGTGCATTCATTTTATAAATAAAATTTAGAAAACTGTAAAATTTTTTCATCACTGATTCTCTCATATCATGATAGTCATGGAAGTCTATCTAAGTATGTAGACACAATGTATATGATTGACATATTCTAATGATCTCAAGCCTAATAGTAATAATAACAATAATAATAATATGATAATAACTTTAGTATGGCAAAAAAATAATATCATAGAGGAAAAACAAAGCAACCAATACGCAAAACAACAGAATTAAAGTTGTTATTATTATTGCTTTACCAGAAAAAAATATAAAGACATCTTTAATATAAAGTAGTATTTGGAACTTATGGCGATTTTGTGCGTATGCATGTGCGCGCATATGTGTGTGTGTCAGAAATGTTGAAAATGATACACGTAGTAATATCCAAAAGTTTTTTACTCAAACATGTAAAATAAAATAACCAATTTTATTTGTTATTTTTTTTTTTTCATATAAATATCTTTTGTTATAATCAACTATTGCAGAGAACGATTAATTATTTTTTTTGTACCGCTACTTTTTTCTTTAGTACCACTACTGAAATTTTTTCTTTAGAATGGTTTAATATTTCAGAAATCATGTTTTCATTGTTAATTACATTTTTCTAAGGAAATCGGATTTTTTAATTTTGAGAATGAAAAATCACCCGTCCCGACTTAGCTATTAGTAATTATATTTTGTTTTCAAAATTGAAGTTCGATTTGCGTAGTTATCAGTAATATAAAAATGATCTTCGCAGTGTTAAACCATGTTAAGGACAAAAATATTTTTTAATAATATATATAATAGTATATAAAATATACTATTATAGTATATAAATATATAGTATATAAATATATTATATAGTACTACTATATAGTATATATATTGGGTGAGTGCAAAAGTTCGTGCGGAGTTTGTGAGTAAAAGTCACACAGTGATTAGGCAAACAAAAATCTTTATTCAATCAATGATATATTCTCCATCGTTTTCTATAATCTTTTCCCAACGTTCTGGCAGCATACGGATGCCTCGATCATAAAAACTGCGCGGTTTAGATTCGAAGAACGAAGAGACGCCGTTTTTTAAGGCCTCCAAAGAGTCAAAGTTTTTTCCATTTAAATAATTTTGCAATGACCGGAACAAGTGATAGTCAGATGGTGCGATATCAGGAGAATACGGTGGATGCGTTAAGACATCCCATTTCAGGCTCTTCAGTTTGCGCAGCGTCTTTTTCGAAACGTGTGGTCTGGCGTTGTCGTGATGAAAGACGACTCCCTTGCGATTTGACAAAATCGGACGTTTCTCTTTTATTTCTCGATTCAGATTGGTTAATTGGCGACAGTACTTGTCCGAATCAATCGTTTCGCCAGCGGGGAGAAGCTCGAAATAGATTATGCCCTTGCAATCCCACCAAACAGAGAGCATCACCTTCATCGGGTGCAAACTGGCCTTTGGCATTGCGTCACCATGCTCACCTGATTGTTTCCATGTCCGTTTGCGCTGAACATTGTTGTAGAGGACCCATTTCTCATCGCCCGTCACTAGTCGATCCAAAAACGACTCGTTATTGAGCCGCCCGAGTAAAGAAACGGCTGCAGAAATTCGCTTGATTTTGTTCATCTCGGTCAGCAAATGGAGCACCCATATATCGAGCTTCAAATCGAATCCCATCTTTTTTAAACGCCGAAAAGCGGTTGATCGGTCAACGTTTAGTGCTGTAGCAACTTCTTCTGTTGAAATTCGCGGATTATTGAGCACTAAAGTACGCAAAACATCGTCATCAATGTCAGAAGGTCGACCAGAGCGTGGCTCGTCTTCAAGGTTAAATTCTCCGCGCCGAAATTTAGCAAACCATTTTTCCACAGTTCGTTTAGCTGGTGCTTCATCCTGATAAACATCCTGAATGTTTTTTACGGCTGCAGCAATGTTTATTCCCTTCCGAAACTCGTAAAGCATAACATGCCGTAAATGCACCTTATCGATACTCATTTTTAAAGTGATATTTCTCGAAGCAGTTTGTATGAAAACAAATTATTTTTTTTTTAATAACAGCTGAAGACGTCACCTTTCCAACGTTATATAATATGTAGATGGAAGTATTAATGACAACACTTTACGACGCTTATAACTCCATCTATTGAAACTCCGCACGAACTTTTGCACTCACCCAATAATATAATAGTATATAAAATAGAAAGATCCATTTATCGTCTCCAAAAAATATATATTAGAATAAAGGATAATAATATAAAAAATAAAAAAGATTGTTTTATCTTATTATTTTTTTATATCTTTGATCCGCACTTTCGGACTTTAGTACATGACTCTCCGCAGTAGATCGATACAAAAGGAATAAAAACGTAAATCGAGTAGATGGAGGTAAAATGTTGTAATATTTCATCGCAGCAAAAAAAAAGTTAAGTTAGAGTAAATGTTAAGTCTATTATTACCGTCCCTTTGTATATCAGATTTATCCTTCAATTTCGAATGAAAATATTAATAATTTATTCGACTACTCAGAGTGGAAAATTTCTTTTATATGAGCAGAAAATCGATCAAGTTCGCGTGACTCAGCTATCACTCTACTTTTCGAGTAGAATTCTATTCGCAGAAATCTAGAAAATGAAATGAAAAGAAACACATCAAGTTACGTGATTTTGAAAATTACGTCAAATATAGATAATTGATTCTTGTTAATATGTATTACAACTATCCGTGAAAATTCGCGGGAAGAATCTTCTGTCGAGAACCGAAACTTTGATTGACCAAGAAAAACGAAACGGTTAACAAAGCCGAAAATTTTTCTGACTGGGGAATTCTTCGACGACTCGATGTTGTTACCAATATAATGCGAAACAAATTTTCCGTTTTGATATGCATCGAATATTATTCGATTTTACTCGATATATATATATATATATATCGTATATGGTATATATATATATATATCGTCGATCGCGTTCCGTTATACAAACAGAATATTCGTTTCGATTTCGACAAACATTTGCACTGCCGCTGGTGCCGTTCGCGAAGCCGTGCACCATTCCATTTTCGCGGTGACGACAGCGTCTGAGTAGCCTTAGGAGTTCTTTTATGCAACACGAGGATTTGTCGATTGCCCTCGTCAATCTGTTAAGTACTAGTCGACTCTACTCGTACGTATGTAACTTTGCTACAAGCATTATTTTTCTTTCCCTGTCGCACAATGCACAAGTAAAACTGAACGTTTAATTTTATCTGGTTTTAACAATAAGGATCCGTGAATGTGTTCAGAGTTATTTTATTGTTAATTTATCGAAAAAGATTGTGCGTATACATAGTACGTTTTGTTCGCATACAATAGCTACAGTTTATTCCGCGAAACAGGCTACGCTCCACTTGGAGAATGTTACATGCTCATCGAGCTCACAATCGGATCTTTATTGCGGTAGCACAGAATGCATTTACGTAATTGCGAAGCGGAATAATTAAGAAATATTAGGCGGAATCATCTCTTTAACATTATGAACTGTTGTACAGTAGGGGAAAAAAACGCAATTAAGTTATTAGAAAGTTTACGGGACCATTTTTATTGTTATTTATTTTTTTTATTTCTATTTTTTTACTTCTATTTTTTTACGATTAATGTAATTACTTCTGCGGTAATGCAAGCAGGGCAACGCCTAGGGCTACAACGACAACGACACGATCTCCACTAATCTCCTGACTGAGATCACAATTTCATTGTAGCGAAGGCGACAGATACGTGAAGGTGGCATGGAAAGATGTCAAGGTGGGTGACCTGGTTCACCTCTCGAACAACGAACTGGTACCAGCCGATCTCTTGCTTCTGCGAAGCAGTGATCCTCAGGGATTAGCTTATCTCGATACATGCAATCTGGATGGCGAATCGAATCTAAAGCAACGTCAGGTTGTCAGGGGTTTTCTCGATCTGCAGGATACCTTTCAGCCTTCCAAGTTCCGATCGGTAGTCGAAGTCGATCAGCCAAGTACTAGAATATATAGGTAAATATCCAACTACGATAAGAATCATTTAATGTTTTTTATATTGAGCATTACCGTAAGATTGTGATAGATTTAGCAGCTGAGTGCTTAATATTGAATAAGCACCCGCAGTCTATCGATTTTCTTTAAAAATTCCTTTATTGATTTTAAACATTGTGTAATTCGCATTCTTTCTTTTTGATAATTTGCAATTTTGTATTTTTGTGTTTATATAATTAAATTTTTGCGTTAAATTCGTATAAATAATCCGTCCTAAAATGGGACTTTATTTCCATAGAGATAAATAAACTTTTCGCATTCGAGCATATTAATCTTTTCAAAGATATTAACACATATATATGCGTTCAGATCTTTCAATCAACGTTCAATCTTTCTTTTTCTATTCAACCATTGTGTCGACGAAAATAAAATGAACAGTACTGTAAATTAATATTCACAACAAAATTTCATGTGGAAAAGGAAAAATCTTATCATATAATTGACATATATCATTGTCATATTTATGTCACTTTAAAGTAAATCTTTTTCTTCTGATTTTTTAGTAAATTTGTCTAAAGAAATTTCTTTTCTAAAGAAGTTTCTAATTGTAACTGAAGTAGCTGCAGCTGAATTTAAATTTAGATTTGAGGTCCAAAAGGCGTTTTGCCGCACCGTTTTTTTTTCTTTTTCTTAAGTCTTGTAAGGAGTTTTGAATAGTGTTGTTACGGTGCTTTTTGACTGCAGAAGGTCAAAATTATGATATATGATGTTCTTTGTGGATTTCACAAAAAGTCCAGACGAACTCTTCGTCTGAATTCGTTGATTCATATAAATAGACGACATTTTCCAGCGATACTTCTCTTCGACATATAACTTTCACTTGTCTTGCAAAACTTTCACTCGACGTTGCCAGCAATTTATGCCAAGCAAACACTTATTACAATCGCTATTTATAATTGTGATAGATGTCCAAGGCGTAATTCACGTTGACTGGATTACACTTAATCTCACGTGTTTCTGATACATCCGCTAGGTTTCACGGCGCCGTGGTGCACCTGGACGGCGGCAGAGTACCCGTATCCACGGAGAACCTTTTGCTCAGAGAATGCGTTTTAAAGAATACTGATTTTGTTGAAGGTATAGTCATATATGCAGGTCACGAAACCAAAGCGTTGCTGAATAACGGCGGACCCAGATACAAGGTAAATATCTAAAGAAAGACTAAAGAAAGATGTATTAGGAGCGCAAAAAAGTTCTGAGCCTTTTTTTGCAAAATTCAAAATTTATTTAAAAACAAACAAAACTATATTAATCAACGAAATATTCCCCGTTTGCATCGATGACCTTTTGCCATCTTTCGGGCAGCTTGCGAATTCCCTGATGGTCACCGGCTTCGAGGCGATAAAGTCATCAATGCATTTTCGTATCTCTTCAAGTGTCACAAAATGTGTATCAGCCAAGAAATGCTGCAGAAACCGGAATAGGTAGTAATCAGAAAGCGCCATGTCTGGGCTATACGCCGCGTGCGGGAGAAGTTCCCAGCCTAACGCAAAGATATGGTCCTGAGTCACTTTCGCAACATGTGGTCGGGCATTGTCATGAAGCAGTATCACTTTACGACGTCCTTTGCCAGTAAATGGCCTCTTTTCTTCAAATGCATCGCTCAAATTGCTCAATTGTTGCTGATAGCAATCTGCCGTTACTGTTTCACCCCGCTGTAACAACTCGTAATATAATATTTAATCCCACCATATGCAAAGCAAAACCTTCTTGGCGTGGATATTGGTCTTTGGCATCGATATCGAAGGTTGACCAGGATCAACCTATGATTTTTTACGCTTCGGATTATCATAAAGTATCCACTTTTCATCACCTGTAATGATTTGGTGCAGAAAATCCTTTTTCCGGAACCTTGAAAGCAAAATAAGTGCCGTGTCACGCCGTCGATTTTTGTTGTCTTCGGACAGTGCATGCGGAACCCATCTGCCTTCCTTTTGAACTTTTCCCATTGCATGTAAACGTGTGGAAATGGCTTGTCGCGTAACGCCAAGTTGCTCTGCAAGCTCCTTTTCAGTTTGTGCAGAGTTTATATCCAATAATGCTTGCAGTTCGTCCGTTTCAATCTTTTGAGGGCATCCAGCACGCGGTTCATCTTCAAGACTGGAATCTCCTTGGCGAAATTTTTGATACCACCTTTTATACGTAGCATAACTTACAGCGTTCTCTCCATATCAACACAGCAACACAGATCATTTCAATAGCTTCAGCAGCATTTTTCTTCAAATGAAACGCGAAGTGGATGGAAAATCGAATATGCTCTTTTGTTATTGCCTTTGTGAACACTGCTAATTTTAAGGTTATGTGCATCAAACGCCAAATCGCACGATATTTCGAAAGACCAAATGTCACTGCTTTAAAACCGCAAGAGGGCGGGAAAATTAATGCAATTTAAATTGTGGTTTCAGTAGTATGAAATCTAGGGCTCAGAACTTTTTTGCGCTCCTAATACATAAAAGTGCCAAATATCCGTTTTACTCTACCAAAAATAAGGCACTTTAGTAGCACACATAAGAATATGCAGTTGTTCAAAAGGAATTTTAACAAACAATATTGAACAAAAACAATTGTTTTACAGAAAAACAATAAAAGCAATTATGATAGAAAACAAGAATATCTGTTGCATAGGTCTAATCAATGCAAAATTAATATAAATATCTGGTCTGTAAGGACTACTTATACCAGAAAAATATTACTGGAAAAATATGTAATTGTTTATTAAGAATGACCTTTGTTACACACGTTGCAGCCAAATATTTCGACCAAAAAATATTGACTCTTTTCTATTTTGTTAATGTTTTAGACTAGAGCTGGACACAATCTGCATATTTCGGGCGAAATTCAATAGGTGATGCCTACCATCCCCCTTGCACCGCCCCGCGCTCAGCGGCCGTGGCGATGATCGCGGTGCACTCAGGCCCGTCGCTGTATAAGAAATCAGCTGGGCCGTCACATTATCATTAAAATTGTTTCCTCGTTTAATAATCATTTTAAAATATATATGTTTACGTGTTTAATACATATATATATATATATGTATATATATATATAATATATTTATAATATACAGGGTGTTTGATAGCTGATCATGCAGACGAAAGATGGAGATAGATTGGGTGTAGCCGAGAAGAAAAGTCATGTACCATAATGTCAAATTGGCAATAGTTACCGAGTTATTAATTAAAACATGTGAGCCAACGAGCGCGTAGAGAGCGGAGGGCGGCCGCAGTAAGCACGTAGACATTTGATACAGGCGGAGTCAGCGAGTAACGGTAGGCAAGCGCGCGTGGCGAGGGGCAACGTAAGCGACAAGAGGCGATCGCGCGCGACGAAGAGCGAGCGAGCTTTTTCTTTATAGCTTTTTCCTTATAGCTCGCTCGCTCCTCGTCGTTCGCGCTCGCTCGCTCTTCGTCGCGCTCGCTCGCCTCTTGTCGCTTGCGCTCGCTCGCTCCTCGTCGCGCGCGCTCGCCTCTTGTCGTTTACGTTGCCCCTCGCTGCGCGCGCTCGCCTATCGCCACTCGCTGACTCCGCCTGTATCAAATGTCTACGTGCTTATTGCGGTCGCCCTCCGCTCTCTACGCGCTCGTTGGCTCACATGTTTTAATTAATAACTCGATAACTATTGCCAATTTGACATTATGGTACATGACTTTTCTTCTCGGCTACACCCAATCTATCTCCAACTTTCATCTGCATGATCAGCTATCAAACACCCTGTATATATATATTGGCGACTTGAATAAGTTCTCGCTGTTTTTTCGTGAAAATGAATGCTGTATTTAAAAAAATTAGTGAAGAACATGTCATTGAAAGTATTGTCCATCGCTAGCCACTACTTTCTCCCATCTTTCTGGCAGCATACGAATATCATGTCGAAAGAACGACTCATCTTTTGAGGTTATCCACGAATCGACCCATTTTTTGGAATCTTCCTAAGAATGAAAGTGCTGCTCAGATAGACTATGAGCCATTGATCGGAACAAGTGGTAATCGGAAGGAGCAATGTCCGGTGAATACGGCGGGTGGGGTAGGACTTCCCATTTGAGCGTTTCCAAATGAGTTTTGACCGATTTTGCAACATGTGGCCGAACGTTGTCATGCTGCAAAATTACTTTGTCGTGTCTCTCCTCGTATTGCGGCAGTTTTTCCTTCAATGCTCGGCTCAAACGCATCAATTGTAGTCGATAGCGATCTCCCGTGATGGTTTCGTTGGGTTTGAGGAGCTCATAATATACTACACCTAACTGATCCCACCAAATACAGAGCATGAGCTTGGAACCATGGATATTCGGCTTTGCCATTGATATTGATGCATGACCGGGCTTACCCCACGATTTTCTACACTTCAGGTTATCGTAGTGTATCCACTTTTCATCGCCAGATACGATGCCTTTCCTTTTTTGCCGTTGGAGCAGCTGTTCACACGTGAAAAAATGCCGTTCGACGTCTCTCGGCTTCAATTCGTACCCAATTTTCTTGCTTTTGAATCATTCTTAATGCTTTTAAATATTTGGCAACTGTTGTGTGATCAATTCCTAATGATTCTGCAAGTTCATTTTACATCTGATATGGATCTTCATCGAGTAATGCTTCCAATTCTTCGTCTTCAAACTTTTTCGGTGCGCCAGAGCGTTCTTTATCTTCAACATCAAAATCATTATTTTTAAAACATCTAAACCAATCTCTGCATGTTGTTTCCGACAGAACATGGTTGCCGTAAGTCTCCACAAAAATTATATGTGCTTCAGCTGCAGATTTTTTTTTTTTAAGTAATACAGTAAAATTCCCCGCAAATACTTTTTTTTGGCACGAAATTCGACATGTTTAACGCTATGAAAAAATATGTTGTTTACGCTTCGGCGGAATAACATATACTGTCACTTCGAACCTAATGATGGAGCTTCGCAATGAAGTTGGCTGTAGTATTACCTGATGCAAAAAGGCTAAAATAACACCATTTTTCGGGAAACAGCGAGAACTTATTCAAGTCACCAATACATATATATATACGCATATACACATCATATACAAGGTGTCCCAAAAGTAACAGACCACCCTAATAACTCTTCAGTATTGAAGTTTCAAGGAAAATGATCTGAATAAAAGTTGTAGGGATTTAAGAGAGCTACCTTATGATGACCTTGATTTTGACTTTGACCTCTATTTTCAAGGTAATTTGAAGGTCAACATGCGTTTTTTAAATAGGAACCCTTATTTTTTATTACACTGTCTTTTTCTACTAGTTAATTTGAACAACTTTTGTCTAAATCTTTTTTTATTTGTCTAATATTTTTTTTAATATTTGAGGAAAACTTGACAACATTTTCAATATTTAACTTACGATATCTCAAAAAAAAAAGTGGTACTAGACTTTCTTGCTTTATTTAGTCTCAAGAATATATTGTTACAATAGCGCCCTGATTTTTGTTAATTTGATGATTTTGAAATTTCCAAAAATCAGTAAGTTAACAAAAGTCAAGGCGCTATTGTAACAATATATTCTTGAGACTAAATAAAGCAAGAAAGTCTAGCACCACTTTTTCTTCCGACAAATAGTTAGCGAGATATCGTAAGTTAAATATTAAAAAAGTTACCAAGTTTTCCTCAAATATCTCAAAAAATATTAGACAAATAAAAAAATATTTTACACAAAAGTTATTCAAATTAACTAGTAGAAAAAAACAGTGTAACAAAAAATAAGGGTTCCCATTTAAAAAACGCAAATTGCCCTTGAAAATAAAGGTCAAAGTCAAAGTCAAGGTCATCATAAGGTAGCTCATTTAAATCCCTATAACTTTTATTCAGATTATTTTCCTTGGAACTTCAATACTGAAAAGTTATTAGGATGGTCTGTTACTTTTGGAACACTCCGTATAACACTTAAACATATATTTTAAAGTGATTATTAAACGAGGAAACAGTTTTAATGATAATGTGACGCCCCAGCTGATTTCTTATACAGCAACGGGCCTGAGTGCACCGCGATCGTCGCCAAGGCCGCTCAGTGCGGGGCGGTACAAGGAGGACGGTAGGCGTCACCTATTGTATTTCGTCCGAAATGTGCAAATCGTGTCCAGCTCTGTTTTGGACTTTATAGATAATAGTCATTTATAAGAGTAACGTCTGATATTTTGGCAGATATTTG